AGGAAAGAATAGCTCGAAGAACAAACCTCTGAACTCATTCCAAGTCATCAACTCAACATTGTGGACATTGGTCATAGACCTCCACCAGATATCGGCATCTCCCATGAACATAGAGGCTGTCAAGAAGATCCTCAATCGGTCTGTAGGCACTGCCATGCTATCAAGCTTGCGTACCATAAGATCTAGCCATGCCTCTAAAGCAAACGGATCCATACTTCCTGCAAATTGGTCGATCTTAACCCTCTGTAACTTCATAAAGTAATCCAATGCCTCATTAGCAACTGGTGCAGGTGCTGGTGCCGGTACCGGAATCTGCATCCCTGCAATATGCTGACGAAATATCTGTTGAATGGACTCTGACATCCCTAGAGCCACTCATTGTGCAATCTGCTCCTTATAAGTCGGAGCTCATGGTGGATTAGGAACCATGCCACGAACTGGAACCCTAGGCCTTCCCAGACCCTTCGTAAACTCGGTGTCATCCACCTGCTCCTCTACGCCCTGACGTGAAGACTCTACACGTGTGACAACCATGATGCTAAACGCACGAGAATAAAGTGGTCAACAATAACACAAGTTATTATGACCGAATGCAACTCATGCTATGAATGCACGAAACAAGAAACATGTCAATGCATGTGACATACAGTCATGCTAAAGCAGGTAAGCATATACAACATGCTAAACAGATGCTGAAATCTTCTAGGTACTTAAGCGCATAAGCACATAGACATGTTATCAAACTAAGCATGTAAATATGTTATAATACTAAAACAAGTTATCAAGGCATATGAATAAAATCAAAGTACACCAACAAAAACATGATATGCACCCAAAACCCGTCGTCCTAAGGTTTTCGAACCTAGGAGCTCTGATACAACTTGTAACGACCCAGGTTTTCTTCAACCCAGTGGGTAAGTGATGAACCAAGGATTGACCCGTTACGGATACAAAATGCGAAAGCGAAAGATAAACTATAGTCCTTTGAGATATAAATTATCTCTAAGACACCAATGTGACATTCCATGATGTCACGGAAGCTAAAGAGAGCAAAAGAGGAAACTAGAGTTTAAATGGGCTAAATCCGTCAACTGAGGGCAAAATGGTCAATTCACAATCAAAAGGAGAAAATTGACTCTAAACAAGTCAAACAAGGTGAATACAACCTAATCTAATCATTTCACAATATTTTAAGAGGTTCTAAGAACTTTGGATAAGAATCCCACAAAATGCCCTCTCCCGGTTTAAGCGAAAACTGACCCTACCTCACTAAAACATGGATATCTCTCACTATTTTTTGAATCTAAGGATATAATTGGTACCATTGGAAAGCTGACTCAAAATCCTTGAGTTTAGGCTCAAGAATTACCCCATTTGGATTAGAAATGAAGAAGTTATGACCCTTTGAAGTTGGAAGCTCAGTGCTAAAACTCAACAGAAGCTATGCTCGGGTTCTTGCTATTTTGGTGGACTGAAATGAAGTTTTGGATGACCAAAATGAACATGCTGAGAGCTCAAATCATGAAGAAAAGGTGCTTGCTGCTTCGGTAGACCGAAATAAAGGTTCGGTCGACCGAAATGACTCTTGAACAGTAGATTTGACTACTGGAATTGAGTTTTACTGTTCAAATACAAAACCATTAACCATCGGTCGACCGAAATGGAGTTTCAGTCGACTGAAACACTTGAAATGCTACTGGAACTCTGCTGAATGGTCTGCTACATGATTGAAATGTTGAGGTTTTAAAATGAAAGCTAAAAACTAACTTCTTTTCAAGGAGATTCAAATGTGTGAGCATGCCAACAACCTTGATATGGATGAAAGAACACAAAATGATGGCTCATGGCCTCATACACTTCATTTACAAGATTTTCATATGCTAAACCTCCAATTTAGCTAAAGTATGCTTTTAAGGCAAATTAATTCACCAACTGAATAAAAATACTAAAGGAAACATGTTTGGCTCTTGACCACATTACAACACATCCATAGAGCATCAAAAGGTACACTTAAGTGTATATTACATAGTTTAGACAACAAATACATATTTTGTCATACTAAGCAAAATGGGACAAGATATGCTAACATGTGCATATTCTAACATAGCAAAAGTACTCCAAGAAGTCTAGCAATTCTATGATTGTTGTGCATCCCACAATATTGCTTCTTTACCTGAAAAACACCCGGTTACTTCGGGGTGAGTAAACAAGTTTACTCGTAGGGAATGAGCATGCACAAGTCTAACATATTACAAAGTTTGCAATTTGATATAATTCAATCCATGCTATTAAAGTGACATTAAAACTTTCAACGTAGCATGATGAGATGCAAATTCACAAAGTTAACAACTTGAAATTTAAATGCGAAATCAAACCAAAGTAGATACTTGGATATTGCCCAGATTAAAACCGTACTCTTGAGATCACTTTAGGGCTATTAACCCATGGGTACCTTTTCCCTAGTGCGCACTATAATGTAGGGAAGTCTCTATCTCCCGTACTAGAACCAAGTCCTAGCCTAGTCAAGTTCTTGATAATATCCTAAGTTTCCAAAATCAACAAGTAGAGCAATAAGTCATGATATGTGATAAAACACAATAAAATCCATGAATTGAATGACTAAATCATTAGAACAATAAGATAGAAATTAATTAAACTAATTAAGTAATTTCTCTAGATTTCAAGAGTTGTCCAAATGATTCCAATTAAACATATGACAAGTAGTAACTCATGGACATGCCATATATCAAGTCAAAAATGGAATTTAAGCATGGTACAATTAAGTAGAATTTAAATCAATTAATTCATTTATTTCTTATTTCAATACAAGACATGCATACAACATGGATATCACTACAAGAACAATTAAATCACTTAAAAAATAAATTATAACACCCCCTACTTCAATAGAGATTAGAATCTCTATAATCCAAGGCAACCAAGCTTAAAAATGGAAAATTAATCAAGGGTTTTATAGAGGAGAGTGAGAGGAAACTTAAGTATTCCAAGTTTAATGGTTTTTGGTGAGTGGAAGGGCACCAAAATTGAAGTCAAAGCTATTGGTCAAGCTTTTCCTTCAATGGAGGCTAAGTTAGAGTTCTTGAGAGGAAAGAGATGAATGAATAAAAATGCAAACCCTAAGTTAAAATGGTGGGATTCTCCACTCACTAGGTGCTCTTGCACTACCTCTCACACACACACTAATGCAAGACTAAAGGTGAGTCCTACATTTGTTACCATCCTATGTAAATTTCTAAGGCTTAATATTGAACCTACACTTGTCAACCGTCTATGCCAACAAGTGGTCCAATCTTAGGTCAACAAATGGGTAAATCTCCACCCTCCATGAGTCAAGAGATTAAGCTTCTAAGTGGTTCCACCACAAGACCAACAAGTAGCACATTAGGAATGTGACACTTGTCACATTTTTCAAAAATTGCAAATAGGTCATTTTAAAAAATATCTTCCAAATTAAATTGCTAAATGGTCTCTAAGACAAAAAACAATTACTTTTCTTAATTACACTAAAACCTCTCAAGTTTAGAGTAATTACCAAAAAGTCATACTTTCATGCACTTTACAAGGGAAGTAAACATTTAATATGCTTTTCTACAAAAGTAAAAATGTAGCTATCATGGATGTATGCCAAACCGGAATCAAATCCGAGCACAAAAAGTGAGGTTATGCGAGGAAAAACGAAAAGAAAAAAAAAAAAAAACGAAAGGACCAAATAGGGAAAAAACGAAAAAAAAAAAAAGAATTTTCGAAAAAAGAAAGGAAGGAAAATGACCGAATCATTACATATCGGGTCTCTACTTGGATTGTAGTAGAGTAGAACTTGCATGTGGGCCAGGCCTACCTTCATTTTTCAGGTATTTGTCAGGAGTAGGGATTGTTCATGCTGAGTAAGGATCGTCTACATCATTCTTCCGGATTGTCTACATAGGAGTTCCTGTGTGATTTCTATATCTAGTTGTACATTGTTGATCGTTTTGTTTTGTTTTGTTTTTCCAGGGGTTCACAATGTATAGATTCCCGAGTTATATAAGTTGGAAGATTATGTGTATCAGAAGGATTTGTTTAGAAGAATTTATTCTGAGGATTTCGTTATTGGATTATCGATTTAGTTTTCTTTCATCCATTTTAATTATTCATGTTTATCATATTTGTATTATTCTGTATTCGATTATTACCATTTATTTTTATATCCTCAGATATTTGGGCGTGGGCCTGGCCAACTCGCATTCGGAAATCTAGGGGTATTACAATTACTCTTTAAAAAAAAAATGGTTATAAAGACATTTTCTAAATTTTATATAAATTACAAACAAATTCTTAGAAAATTAATTGTCTTAAATGTTAACATACAATAAATTAAGATTTAAGAAATGAAGTTGAAATGAAAAAAAAGGTAATTGTAGTTTAAATATTATATATAATGTACTTAAAATTAAAAATATATATGAAAATAATATTAGAATTCAGGTTCGATTTGCTTGGATTGATAGTGCCTCAATCTAAGCCCAACCTTAATTAAATTCGAGTTGAAAATTTTCAATTCAAACCCAATCCTATTTATAATAATTGTCCCAGCCCAAAAAAAAATTGGGCGAACGCAAGGTGGGTTTGGATTGGCCAACCCAAGTTGCACTCCTAGATTTGACCCACAATGTGTCAGTATAATTTGTCTTAAAAATAATCAATGACTACCAAACAAATCCTTCCAAAATCTCCCAAGAGACAGAAAGAGTCCCTATCCATCCAGCATCAAACTTCCTCTTTTTAAACTGGGGAAAATTCAAAGCCAATTTGCCACTCTCAACCTCTCCGAGAGAGCGCGCTACTTGCCACTGAAAGAGAGAGAGAGTCGTCCAACGACCAAAGTACCAATCATACGAATCGAAGAAAGGTATTGAATCGAACCTTATACTACATACACTTTCACACACACACACATGTATGCACACATTAATATGCATATCTGGTTCTATCTTCTCTTCCTTCACAAAAATATAATAGACTTTATCTTTGTTTGTTAGCCTTCCGTTGCTGCACGTATTGAGATCTATATCTAAAATATATTACTTGTCTGGGTTCTAGAGATCATGCGTTTTCATGTTTGTTTTCTTTTGGAAGCTGGCGTCTACTTTATTGGTAAACTTTTTTTTTTTAAGTATATACCTTTTGACAATATTTTAATGGACTTTATCATGGGTCTCGTGATTTTGTGGTTCTTATCCTCTTTTTCTCTCTCGTTTCCCTTTTCCGGGTTGGGGTTTTCCAGATTTTATCTTCTCGTATCATCATTCACACATTTAATAATATTATGTGTATATCATTTAGGGTAATCTTGATAGATGCTTTGAGTTTTTGTCATTGATTTTGCGTCCGGTATTGTGGTTGTGAACTTGGATGATTTTTGGTTATTTGATCCTTTTGTTTGCTGTTAAAGGTATGCATTTCCATTGCCTTTATTTATACTTTTTAGGATTCTTGTATAATAATTTTCTGTTAATTGATTTATTGTTACCATGCCGTACTGTTGACTCTTAAATGATTTGTTGCTTTTTCTTTCTGTAGCACATATGGTGGCATTGCTAAGTGCTAACTAGTATCTATCTTCCAGTATTGTAGAGTTATGCTCTTTTTTTTCCTTAATGATATTGTATAGTTGGAATTAAAAATCATGCTCTTAAAGTAGCATGCAAATTGATTATTGCTGGTGATAATGTTGTGGGGTTTGGAGCAAGGTTCTTGTGGCCATCTTTAATCAATTGGGATTGAGGCTTTATGCATTTAAATGAATGTTGGAATTGCGAAATTTGTAATTTTCAGTTTGGAATTAGCAATTAAGTTGAGGATGATTATTGTACCTCTGATGCATTGTAGTGTTGTGGGGATCCCTTGATTTGGCAGTTGAGGGAAGTCAGTACCTTTCTAATTCTCAATATGAATGTTGAGCTGTTAAAGAATCATCGATTAATATCTGACACTTAAAATTCTGTTGATATCTGCATATCAAAATAGAATTTTCCCTTTGTGTTCTTTACTGAATAAGCATCTCTCCTTTGAGATCTCTCTGGCGTGATTGTTAAGAGAAAATCACTTTGCAACTTCCCTGAGGATCATTGAGGGAACGACCAGTACAATGGAGCTTGTTCTTGCTTTATATTACCCTTATTTATTATTATTATTATTTTTTCAGTATATACCTCAAGTAAAATTAGTAATTAGGCTTTTGAATATTCAGCCTCAGAAAGTTTAAACTTGGACTCTGGCTTTGCAATCGGGAACCTTGTTTGTTGCTAAAGGAATTTGGTTTGGCTGAAAGCATATGAATTACTCAGAGAAGTATTCTTGTTTGATATCCATGGACAAGTTTAGATATTGGACAAATTTTTAGTGTGGAAATAAGAAACATATGATCTTGAATGAGTAAACACTTGTATTTTTGTTTTAACTAGAACAAGAATTGCTTACTTTTTATATATCATAATCACACAAGAAAAATAAATCAAATAAGAACTAAAAATGTTTTCCTTCTATTCTTCCTTTACTTTGATGTTCTTGTTTTTCTTTTGGATAGAAGATTATACTTTTCTAAAATAGATTTTGTATTGTGTCCTGAGAAGCACCTTAAAGAAGGTTCTTTAGCTAAACTTATGGACAAAAAAAAAAAACTTATGGACAAAAAAAAAAAACTTATGGACAGGTTGGAATCAGATAATTTAAGTATGTTTTGTTATTGATACGCATGCTTGCTTTAGCTTTTAAAGGTATCAGAGGGTGGTCGGCAAGTGAAGTGAAAACTTCCATTCGGGATTACTTATCATACGTTCTTTACCTACTTGTATTGACTCAAGTTGATTTATATTTTTGCTACTATTTTGGTGTTGAACCCAGTGTTGGGATTGTACAGATCTGTTTCTTCAACCATTATGAGAATGAACATTTGCTAGGAGCTCCTTACCCAGAATTTTTTTAAAAAAAAATTGCTAGGAGCTGTTACAATATTATTCCGGATAGAGCTTATTGTATGGCGGTTGAAACACTGCATGGCACAGATTATCACATTTATAGTTCCATGTTGAATGCTCATTATGGTCTCTTATTCTTTTTACAGTCTTCATTTCTCTTATTGGATCTGCTTCTTGTATTATCGGTGTAATTTTTTTTTTTGAAATAATGAAATTCAAATTTTCTATGCTTTTTACCATTGGTACATGGTTTTATAATCTCGTATTTATGGCTACATATGATGGGACATAACTGCAATCAGAATAATAAATTAGACTGCATGTTGATTGATGTTTTGAATTTTCAGATGGAAGTGCAAAATCCTGAACATGAGAATATAATTGAGATATGTGGAGATGTGCCAGTTGTAGAAAATAACTTTGGTGGGAGTAAGATTTGTGGGGGTGCAGCTTGTGGTTTCTCGGATTCTAAAACCAGTTCTAAGGATGCAAAAGAACGTTCAGCATCCATGAGGAAACTTGTGACGGCAGTTGTACTTTGCATCATATTTATGAGTGTAGAAGTTGTTGGAGGTATTGAAGCCAATAGTCTTGCAATTTTGACCGATGCAGCTCATTTATTGTCAGACGTTGCAGCTTTTGCAATCTCTTTGTTCTCACTGTGGGCATCAGGATGGGAAGCGACTCCACGCCAGTCATATGGTTTCTTCAGGATTGAAATACTAGGGGCATTAGTTTCCATTCAGATGATATGGCTTCTTGCTGGGATTCTTGTTTATGAAGCCATTGCTAGAATTATCCACAATACAGGTGAAGTTCAGGGCTTTCTCATGTTTATTGTTTCCGCTTTTGGTTTAGTTGTTAATGTTGTTATGGCTCTCTTGTTGGGTCACGATCATAGTCACGGCCATGGTCATGATCATGGACATGATGGTCATGATAATAGCCATGAGGGCACTGATAATATCCGCAGCCATGGAGTAAGCATCAGCACTCATCATCGCCATCACCATCATGAGGGGGATTCCAATCACGAGGACCACCATCATGATCACAAGGATCATGCTGAGCCTCTGCTGAATACTCATTCTGAAGGCGAGAATGAATCAAAAGGTATTAAACAACAGAAGCAACGGAATTTAAATATTCAGGGAGCTTATCTCCATGTGCTAGGGGATTCCATCCAGAGTATAGGGGTGATGATTGGTGGGGCAATTATATGGTATAAACCTGAGTGGAAGATAATCGATTTGATATGCACTCTCATATTTTCTTTGATTGTGCTGGGAACAACCATCCAGATGCTGCGGAACATTTTGGAGGTTCTGATGGAGAGTACACCCAGAGAGATTGATGCAACAAGAATTGAAAAAGGTCTGTGTGAGATGGAAGAGGTGGTGGCAATCCATGAACTGCACATATGGGCAATTACAGTTGGGAAAGTGTTGTTAGCATGCCATGTCAAAATCAAGCGCGATGCTGATGCTGACATGGTGCTAGACAAGGTGATAGATTATATCAGGAGGAAATATAATATCAGTCATGTAACTATCCAGATAGAGAGAGAGTAGGTCTCAAGTGGGGAGGTGCCTGGGGGACAGTGTGCTGGGTGTTGTAGTCGGGTGGAGGTTGTGGTTCTTTCAAACCTATCAATTCTTTATGGTAAAAATATCATTCCATCTGGTCATTTGGTTGGATTTGTGTTCCCCCCTCTCTCTCTCACTCTTTTATTTTATTTTTTTGGGATTTTCCATAGTGAAGATTCTTATTGCATCTATGCATGCCTCTGTTACTTTTCATCTCTCCTTGTTCATGACGTTCGTAGATGCAATACTGTTGCCATAATCGGATCTTTTGTCATCGGCAGCTCTTATGAATTGCTCCTTAAAAACCTGTGAGTGGGTGACACTAAGGTGGGATTAAAGCTGTTGAATGCTGTTTTTCTTGTGGAAGAAACCATTGTGTAGCACTATGCTGGTAGTAGAGTGATTTTGTCACTGCCGGTTTGTAGACATAAACTCCCTGACTTGAAGTTCGTTCTTCCAGATTGTAGAATTGGTTTTCATGATATAGAGTATACAAATTCTTCTTCAGCCATGGAATCCAGATCCTGCCCTTATTTTGAAGCTTTAACAATCTCAGCCACTCTCCTTAACTGTGACCAAATCCTCCTTCAGTTCTATGACTGGCAAGTTTTACTCCATTCAGAAGGTGGAGCGTCTTAGAATTGATATTTCCACCCCCAAATGAAAATTTTTATCATACAAATAACAGAAACATGCAATTTGAAAGCATTACTCCATTATTGAATGATGGAATAATAAATCACACCCCTCATCAATTCAACTGAACCCAACCCTACCCGGGAGTTTCACTGCAATCTTATCAGTAGTAAGGGCTTTACAACCCCTTCATTCTCAGACCTGCAGAGGCAAGGATCCACAGTTCATCTATAAAAATCTACTGAGGGATTTTCTTCTTTAGAAAATACTACCTTGTTTTTTTCATTGCTGACTCCCAATCCACAGAGAGCTTGAAACCTGTTAGAATATTCATCACGAACAGATCATCTTCATAGAAGCAGTGAGTAAAAGACAAGCCATTCAAATTAGCAGCAACACATTTAACGTTAAACAAGAGTGAAGAGGAGAGAGGGGAAGTCGGTACGTACTACATTAACTCCCCAGTTATGGCAATGAACACGGATCATCACACTTGATGTTGTACAAACTAAATAATAATAATAATAATAATAATTAAAAAAAAAAAACATAACTAGCGGCCACTGCAGGGTCACATACAGGAGAGGAGAGAAGAAATTTTGTATGCTTAAAGATATCACTGACGAAAAATTTGCAACTGAATTTCACAACTTTTTGTAGAATTCCACAAGTGAGAAATTGTAGGCACGACATATCAGTTTTATGCTGGAGAAGCCTGCTTCTTTTGCCAAATTTCCAAATTCGTTCTCTGTCCTCTCCTTTCCCCCGGGGTTCATATTCATCATGTACAAATCAAATTGCAGCATACTTCTAACCCAAACTTTACTCTCTGGGGATTCTGGAACCACCAAATCAACAACAATCACTTTCCCATGGTCTGGTAACGCCTCGTAGCAATTTTTCAGCAACTTCAAGCAATGTTCATCATCCCAACTGTGAAGTATCCACTGTTTCATCCAAATTCCTGTTTCAGTACTTATACATCCTCTGAAAATGTAGCTAAATTGCAAGAGCTACATATATATATATATGCAAGAGCTTCTATAATTCTTCTTCATATTGACATGCATTTTTAATTCAGTTGTCCTTGCGCTATCACATAAATGGAAACCAACAATTACAGATGCAGCTGCCTAATTAATTGAAAGTGCATGAATTATATATGCATATTAAAGTGGAACCAACCTTCATGAAAATGGCGTCTCCTTTTGGAATGCTTAAGAACATATCTCCTGAAACATGCTCAACACCTGCAACAATATATATAGTGAGTTATATATATATATATATATATATATATATATATATATATATATATATATATATATTTATATTCAGGAATTAATCAATTAGAGGGTTTTTATTTATGAATTCAAATCAAATAATGCACTAGTACTTGTTGAATATTATTACCTGCAGGGTAGGAAGGTGAGTTTTGTATAATCGGAGCCAAATCGAAGTTGATGGCTTTGATTGTGGGATAGTGGGAAAGAATCATGTTAAGGATGGTACCATCGCCACCACCCACATCCACCAATGATTTCAAGCCTTCAAAGCCCTTATATGTCTCCAAAATCTTGTTCATGAACATGGAATTGTAGTCTCTCATGGAAGCCTTGAAAAGGGGGAGATACCTGGCATCTTTGGAAATGTACTCAAAAGAGTTCATCCCATAGGCCCTGTTAAATGGGACTTCTCCTTCCAAAACGGCATCTTTGGTGTGATACCTGCGATCGATTTCCCATCAAATTAACTTATATATATACTATATACAGAACATGATTATATATATGTTGCCATGTTATAATAGGAAATTAAGTAAAATTTAATTAATTATTACGTACTTACCACATATCAATCATAACCTTGTCCTGCATTACACCAAATAATGGGGCTAATGAAGCTCCATCTTTGTTGGGGATGAAGTATTTGGAGACGGGTGCCAAACCATAAAGCCTATGTACCTCCAGATGATGATGATGGTCACTCTTGTCAATGTCATGGTTGGAATTAACAATATTAAGAGAGCAAGTGAGGATAGAATAGCTAGCAAGAAGGCGAAGGATCCGATCGAGCACGATAGGGACTTCCGGGCTGTTGTTGGCGGTGGGAAGCTGAGATGCAATGTCAAAGGGGGAAAGAAGGGCACCTGGGCCAGCTCTCTCCATAATCTCCAGCAAACCAAGCTCTATAGCTGCTTTCAACACCATAGGCAGCACTGATGCACTTACCAGCTGCATGGCATAGTGGCAAAGGTTGTCCTCCTCTTCTTCAGGGGAGGACGAGGAGGTTACCATCTGCAGGTTTTCTAACGAACTATTCATTCTTATTCCTTAATAATAGGAATAAGAGTAGAAGAAGAAGATTGACTGATGAGGAGCTAGGTAGAGGCCGGGGCTGCATGATTGTCTTAATTTATACTAGTAATCCATAGTGGGCTATCTTGCAAATTACTAATTAATTAAAGAGCACATCTATTTTGACTGATTTTTCAATTGACCATTCACTAACAAGATGGAGGCAAATTCAATTATTTCTTTCTTAATTTCATACTTCTTTTCCAACTAATATTCTTGTTTTGATTTTGCATACATACATGTGGAGAATAAATTAACAAATATGTGTGGTGGTCACCATTTTTTATTTTAAAGTGGATAATGTCTGGGAATGGAGTGATGATGATAAGATAGATACATATCAGATTAGATAATAAGGGAGAGACTTTTCCACTTCAAATATAGTGACCACCTTTAGTTATAATTTAACTGTTACATTGCAAATTCACTTTTCTTCTTATTTTAAATTTTCTAATGCAACAAAATCACTATTCTCCTTATTATTAGTTTTCTAATAACCTAACCAATTTCTTCTTCACAAGACCTATTATAAAAATAATAATAATAAAAAACAAAATAAATAAAAACATAAAGAATTAAAATCTTGAAAAGGAAAAGAAAAAAAAAAAAAACCTTAATCAAGTATGAATTACTTTCTTCGATTAACAGTAAGCACTGTTATATTTTTCTCTCCAATTCACGGAGAATTTTCTTCATCTTCTTCTTTCATTTTTTTTTTCTTTTCAAATAAATCTCTAATTTCTCTATCTATTCTCAACATAAAAACATACATACCTCTTTTGTACCTATAAGCGTTCATCATCGTATCTAACTAGTACCATGAATCAGTTGTTAGGGTATAATGCACTTATTTTAAACAGGGTGAATTTCACTTAATGCCCCTCTTACAGTGTACAAAATACCCCCAATTTGAAAAATTGTGCAAATCAGTCCTGCCTGACATATTAAATTAAGAATGATTACTGAACGTTGAAGATGATGTGATGAGAGGTTATTGCAGAGGGGTTATGTAAACTATAATTATTCATATTAAACCATTCATCACAAATAAATTTGAATCCCATAATTTTAGAATTTCATTATTTTCACACAGTCTATAATTCATAAATAAATACTAGTTAGATATACATACCTCGATTCATGATATCAAACATTGTTGAGATTAAATCCAATGTCCAATCCTTTAACCACGAACTAATCTGCAACTCTGATCAACAGGCAAAGGCGGAAACTGATTTCTCTCTCTTGGCCTAATGCACACATAAATATTATACGTGTTATATTCATTAGTGTACATAATTGATGGGATATATGCATTTTTATAAAGGCAGAGAGAGGACCAATTTTCCTTTTTAGTAACCTTAATTCCACTTTCCATCAAAGTAAGGAATAAATAGGAAAACACTTCTCCAATAATTAATTACCATAAAGGTAATTTATAAGTTGACCAAATAATATAATATTAATCTGATACCTATTTACTTAACCACTAATTAATGAAATATACCCCATATCCAAAACATGTGGGCCATACAATATAAGAAAATATCTTACAGTCTCCCACTTGGCCTATATGATAACTTTCGTAGCGGTTTAGTAAAATAGTCATTAGTGTGCACCATAAATCAGATTGACTCATTAAATTGATCATCATAAATACCATGGTAAATAAACTACTAATGCGAGTCAAGGTGGTTATTTGTCCTTAAATGAGACAGTCCCTTCCATGTACCACAACACTAGTAATCTATTCAACATAGTCTATAAATGAAAAGTATCAATAATGATCTAACAATAATGTCTTTTCCAAGACTATTCCTATTACCATTTATTAAAGCAATACGTACATGTACATTAACTAATAGGAAATATCAGAAACACATTTAATCAGCGCAAAATGTCAAATATATATAAACACTGTTAAGCAATCCACAATTAAAAAATAATTATCATTGACTACATTCAAGACCCATTCTTTCAACACGTTCCATAAATGTCTTGGCTGATAGTTCATTTGTTAATGGATTGAAATCATAAATTGTGTATTTATATGTTCAATAGACATTCTTTGTTTCTAAACATCTTATTTAATGATAAAGTATTTCAACTTTAGAGTACCTATCATTTTTCATACAAGAAAATCAACAATTGCAGCATAAATTTTTAACAATCTGAAAATAGTACACATAACTCCAAGTCCTGAAATAAATTCTGCAACAATAAATTATAACCTCAAAGCATGCTACAAATTAATAAATTCATAATAGACAAAGTAATAATAAATTACTTTGCACTTTTCATAATATTGTTCCCCAGCCAAATCTTCTAGAACTCTTTTAATATATGCTTTATGAGACAATTCTAAAAAATTCACGTGATCTATTATAAAATATTTATATTTCTATTACGTAAAATGCCTCATCCATATATTTCATTTCAAAGTTCTTAAAGATAACTTTTAGTTTCTTATAATAAATTAAGATCACTACAAGTAAACAAAATATCATCAATATATATAGAATCAGAAATATAAACTTACTCCCACTAACCTTATAGTATATACACTGATCAACAGTGTTTTACTTAAAACAAAAAGAAATAATGGTATCATAATATACCATTATCTGGAAGCTTGTTTAAGTTCATATATTAACATCTTAAGTTTACAGACCATGTATTCTTTACTATTTAATGTAAATCCTTTAGATTGTTCCATATAGACTTCATCTTTCTAAACTCCCATTCAGAAAATCAATCAAAAATAAATTCTTATAGATATACCACATAGTCATCCGGAATAATAGATCTCCTTTTTGAGATCGTCTTAATGTTATTCCTTATGACTCTTTTATGATATATTCACTGATAACAATCTCATCATGGAATTGTTGATCATTCAATTATTCTTCGGTGTTATACAGTTCAACAACTGAATGAACAATTATTTCTTTAGAAATTATGGGTAAAGAAATTTGTACACTAACTTCTTAAATGATCACATTCTTATTTTTATCACTCCCACTGACTTCACCATTCTTAATGAATCTGACATTACTAGTTTCAATAATTATCGTACTGTGTTTAGGAAAGTAAAACTTGTACCATTTAGATTACTTAATATCCACAATATTATGGGTAACGAGGAATTATTTAACATACTCCTAACCAAATCCATAAGAGTACGATTATGCTTAATAGCTACAAGCTTCTGTTGTAGCATGTATCGCAAAGTGTATTAAGCACAAATGTCATACTTTCCATAATATTCACTACCTCTATATGAACTTATAATTTCCACTTTTCTATCTAGTTGTTTTTCAACCTCATTTATGTATACTTCAAGAATATCCACTACTTGAGATTTTTTATGCAACAAATAGATATATCCATAACGTGAAAAATCAACTATAAAGGCGATAAAATACTTTTCTCCTCCAAAAGATGGAACATCAGAAGGTTTACAAATGTCTGTATGAATAATTTCAAGAAGCTCTGTACTTCTTGTGACTCATTTCTTTGTGTGTTTGGTTTGTTTACCCTTAATACAATCTACACATACACCAAAATTAGTAAAATTTAGATTCAGAAGAATCACATCCTTTACTAATTTTTCTAACATTTTACTAGATATTGACCTAGTCTTTTATGTCACAAGAAATATAAATTTTCTATTAATTTAGCTACGCTTAATTCTAACATTATGTTGCAAGATCAAAAAATTCGTAATAAATAAACTAACAAGTTTGAATTTACTGAAATTATCAACAATAATACAATAACTCACAAATTAGAATTTCTTAAATAAACATCATTATCAAATTTAAATGAAAAACCATTAACATAAAATTTTGAAATAAAATCAAATTATAGGAAATTTAATAAACCTATAAAGTTTAAAATAATTTAAATAAAATCCACTGTCTAACATTAAACATAATGTCACAATGGTTTCAACAAAACTTTTTTTCCCAATTATCATAAATAAGAAATTCTTATTTGAATTTGTGGTTTAGGCCATAAGAAATTCTTGCATATATTAGAAATATAAACATTAGTACTTAAGTCAACCTATCATGTATTAAAAATAATTTCAATAAGTAATTCGAAATATACAAAAGCCAAAAGCTTACCATTCTTTTTTGAATTATTCTTTATATTTTATGTAATCTTTCTAAAAGTGTTCAATACATCAATGCCACTTTTCCATTATTACATTCATTTCTTTTAGTAGATTGACCTAAATCTTTTAATATTGGGTGTTGCTCACTTAATGCCTCTTCAGGCTTATTCCCAAAATTTATTTATAACTTCTTGAGTCATCAGATGAACATAATGATTACTTTGCTACTTAAGTCTTGTCTCCTCCTAAATTAACATAATGGTCAATTAAATCACTTTCCACTTGTCTTAATAGTGTTAATTCGAAATGACCCATACTGAAGAAATAAGAAATTGAGAATAAATTGAATAAGAAAATTCTCATTCACAATCATCTATAAGGTTCTTAATTTTGCAGCAACATTAGTCATCTAAAAATGCGATCATACATGGTACAAGTACTACATTAACTCCCCAGTTAGAATATTCATCACGAAAAGATCATCTTCATAGAAGCAGTGAGTAAAAGACAAGCCATTCAAATTAGCAGCAACACATTTAACGTTAAACAAGAGTGAAGAGGAGAGAGGGGAAGTCGGTACGTACTACATTAACTCCCCAGTTATGGCAATGAACACGGATCATCACACTTGATGTTGTACAAACTAAATAATAATAATAATAATAATAATTAAAAAAAAAAAACATAACTAGCAGCCACTGCAGGGTCACATACAGGAGAGGAGAGAAGAAATTTTGTATGCTTAAAGATATCACTGACGAAAAATTTGCAACTGAATTTCACAACTTTTTGTAGAATTCCACAAGTGAGAAATTGTAGGCACGACATATCAGTTTTATGCTGGAGAAGCCTGCTTCTTTTGCCAAATTTCCAAATTCGTTCTCTGTCCTCTCCTTTCCCCCGGGGTTCATATTCATCATGTACAAATCAAATTGCAGCATACTTCTAACCCAAACTTTACTCTCTGGGGATTCTGGAACCACCAAATCAACAACAATCACTTTCCCATGGTCTGGTAACGCCTCGTAGCAATTTTTCAGCAACTTCAAGCAATGTTCATCATCCCAACTGTGAAGTATCCACTGTTTCATCCAAATTCCTGTTTCAGTACTTATACATCCTCTGAAAATGTAGCTAAATTGCAAGAGCTACATATATATATATATGCAAGAGCTTCTATAATTCTTCTTCATATTGACATGCATTTTTAATTCAGTTGTCCTTGCGCTATCACATAAATGGAAACCAACAATTACAGATGCAGCTGCCTAATTAATTGAAAGTGCATGAATTATATATGCATATTAAAGTGGAACCAACCTTCATGAAAATGGCGTCTCCTTTTGGAATGCTTAAGAACATATCTCCTGAAACATGCTCAACACCTGCAACAATATATATAGTGAGTTATATATATATATATATATATATATATATATATATATATATATTTATATTCAGGAATTAATCAATTAGAGGGTTTTTATTTATGAATTCAAATCAAATAATGCACTAGTACTTGTTGAATATTATTACCTGCAGGGTAGGAAGGTGAGTTTTGTATAATCGGAGCCAAATCGAAGTTGATGGCTTTGATTGTGGGATAGTGGGAAAGAATCATGTTAAGGATGGTACCATCGCCACCACCCACATCCACCAATGATTTCAAGCCTTCAAAGCCCTTATATGTCTCCAAAATCTTGTTCATGAACATGGAATTGTAGTCTCTCATGGAAGCCTTGAAAAGGGGGAGATACCTGGCATCTTTGGAAATGTACTCAAAAGAGTTCATCCCATAGGCCCTGTTAAATGGGACTTCTCCTTCCAAAACGGCATCTTTGGTGTGATACCTGCGATCGATTTCCCATCAAATTAACTTATATATATACTATATACAGAACATGATTATATATATGTTGCCATGTTATAATAGGAAATTAAGTAAAATTTAATTAATTATTACGTACTTACCACATATCAATCATAACCTTGTCCTGCATTACACCAAATAATGGGGCTAATGAAGCTCCATCTTTGTTGGGGATGAAGTATTTGGAGACGGGTGCCAAACCATAAAGCCTATGTACCTCCAGATGATGATGATGGTCACTCTTGTCAATGTCATGGTTGGAATTAACAATATTAAGAGAGCAAGTGAGGATAGAATAGCTAGCAAGAAGGCGAAGGATCCGATCGAGCACGATAGGGACTTCCGGGCTGTTGTTGGCGGTGGGAAGCTGAGATGCAATGTCAAAGGGGGAAAGAAGGGCACCTGGGCCAGCTCTCTCCATAATCTCCAGCAAACCAAGCTCTATAGCTGCTTTCAACACCATAGGCAGCACTGATGCACTTACCAGCTGCATGGCATAGTGGCAAAGGTTGTCCTCCTCTTCTTCAGGGGAGGACGAGGAGGTTACCATCTGCAGGTTTTCTAACGAACTATTCATTCTTATTCCTTAATAATAGGAATAAGAGTAGAAGAAGAAGATTGACTGATGAGGAGCTAGGTAGAGGCCGGGGCTGCATGATTGTCTTAATTTATACTAGTAATCCATAGTGGGCTATCTTGCAAATTACTAATTAATTAAAGAGCACATCTATTTTGACTGATTTTTCAATTGACCATTCACTAACAAGATGGAGGCAAATTCAATTATTTCTTTCTTAATTTCATACTTCTTTTCCAACTAATATTCTTGTTTTGATTTTGCATACATACATGTGGAGAATAAATTAACAAATATGTGTGGTGGTCACCATTTTTTATTTTAAAGTGGATAATGTCTGGGAATGGATAACAAATATGTGTGGTGGTCACCATTTTTTATTTTAAAGTGGATAATGTCTGGGAATGGAGTGATGATGATAAGACAGATACATATCAGATTAGATAATAAGGGAGAGACTTTTCCACTTCAAATATAGTGACCACCTTTAGTTATAATTTAACTGTTACATTGCAAATTCACTTTTCTTCTTATTTTAAATTTTCTAATGCAACAAAATCACTATTCTCCTTATTTTTAGTTTTCTAATAACCTAACCAATTTCTTCTTCACAAGACCTATTATAAAAATAATAATAATAAAAAACAAAATAAATAAAAACATAAAGAATTAAAATCTTGAAAAGGAAAAGAAAAAAAAAAAAACCTTAATCAAGTATGAATTACTTTCTTCGATTAACAGTAAGCACTGTTATATTTTTCTCTCCAATTCACGGAGAATTTTCTTCATCTTCTTCTTTCATTTTTTTTTTTCTTTTCAAATAAATCTCTAATTTCTCTATCTATTCTCAACATAAAAACATACATACCTCTTTTGTACCTATAAGCGTTCATCATCGTATCTAACTAGTACCATGAATCAGTTGTTAGGGTATAATGCACTTATTTTAAACAGGGTGAATTTCACTTAATGCCCCTCTTACAGTGTACAAAATACCCCCAATTTGAAAAATTATGCAAATCAGTCCTGCCTGACATATTAAATTAAGAATGATTACTGAACGTTGAAGATGATGTGATGAGAGGTTATTGCAGAGGGGTTATGTAAACTATAATTATTCATATTAAACCATTCATCACAAATAAATTTGAATCCCATAATTTTAGAATTTCATTATTTTCACACAGTCTATAATGCATAAATAAATACTAGTTAGATATACATACCTCGATTCATGATATCAAACATTGTTGAGATTAAATCCAATGTCCAGATCCTTTAACCACGAACTAATCTGCAACTCTGATCAACAGGCAAAGGCGGAAACTGATTTCTCTCTCTTGGCCTAATGCACACATAAATATTATACGTGTTATATTCATTAGTGTACATAATTGATGGGATATATGCATTTTTATAAAGGCAGAGAGAGGACCAATTTTCCTTTTTAGTAACCTTAATTCCACTTTCCATCAAAGTAAGGAATAAATAGGAAAACACTTCTCCAATAATTAATTACCATAAAGGTAATTTATAAGTTGACCAAATAATATAATATTAATCTGATACCTATTTACTTAACCACTAATTAATGAAATATACCCCATATCCAAAACATGTGGGCCATACAATATAAGAAAATATCTTACAGTCTCCCACTTGGCCCATATGATAACTTTCGTAGCGGTTTAGTAAAATAGTCATTAGTGTGCACCATAAATCAGATTGACTCATTAAATTGATCATCATAAATATCATGGTAAATAAACTACTAATGCGAGTCAAGGTGGTTATTTGTCCTTAAATGAGACAGTCCCTTCCATGTACCACAACACTAGTAATCTATTCAACATAGTCTATAAATGAAAAGTATCAATAATGATCTAACAATAATGTCTTTTCCAAGACTATTCCTATTACCATTTATTAAAGCAATACGTACATGTACATTAACTAATAGGAAATATCAGAAACACATTTAATCAGCGCAAAATGTCAAATATATATAAACACTGTTAAGCAATCCACAATTAAAAAATAATTATCATTGACTACATTCAAGACCCATTCTTTCAACACATTCCATAAATGTCTTGGGTGATAGTTCATTTGTTAATGGATTGAAATCATAAATTGTGTATTTATATGTTCAATAGACATTCTTTGTTTCTAAACATCTTATTTAATGATAAAGTATTTCAACTTTAGAGTACCTATCATTTTTCATACAAGAAAATCAACAATTGCAGCATAAATTTTTAACAATCTGAAAATAGTACACATAACTCCAAGTCCTGAAATAAATTCTGCAACAATAAATTATAACCTCAAAGCATGCTACAAATTAATAAATTCATAATAGACAAAGTAATAATAAATTACTTTGCACTTTTCATAATATTGTTCCCCAGCCAAATCTTCTAGAACTCTTTTAATATATGCTTTATGAGACAATTCTAAAAAATTCACGTGATCTATTATAAAATATTTATATTTCTATTACGTAAAATGCCTCATCCATATATTTCATTTCAAAGTTCTTAAAGATAACTTTTAGTTTCTTATAATAAATTAAGATCACTACAAGTAAACAAAATATCATCAATATATATAGAATCAGAAATATAAACTTACTCCCACTAACCTTATAGTATATACACTGATCAACAGTGTTTTACTTAAAACAAAAAGAAATAATGGTATCATAATATACCATTATCAGGAAGCTTGTTTAAGTTCATATATTAACATCTTAAGTTTACAGACCATGTATTCTTTACTATTTAATGTAAATCCTTTAGATTGTTCCATATAGACTTCATCTTTCTAAACTCCCATTCAGAAAATCAATCAAAAATAAATTCTTATAGATATACCACATAGTCATCCGGAATAATAGATCTCCTTTTTGAGATCGTCTTAATGTTATTCCTTATGACTCTTTTATGATATATTCACTGATAACAATCTCATCATGGAGTTGTTGATCATTCAATTATTCTTCGGTGTTATACAGTTCAACAATTGAATGAACAATTATTTCTTTAGAAATTATGGGTAAAGAAATTTGTACACTAACTTCTTAAATGATCACATTCTTATTTTTATCACTCCCACTGACTTCACCATTCTTAATGAATCTGACATTACTAGTTTCAATAATTATCGTACTGTGTTTAGGAAAGTAAAACTTGTACCATTTAGATTACTTAATATCCACAATATTATGGGTAACGAGGAATTATTTAACATACTCCTAACCAAATCCATAAGAGTACGATTATGCTTTATAGCTACAAGCTTCTGTTGTAGCATGTATCGCAAAGTGTATTAAGCACAGATGTCATACATTTCAAGGAGTTTAGCAAACGGTTAAAGTATTAACCCGTTTCATCATACTTTCCATAATATTCACCACCTCTATATGAACTTATAATTTCCACTTTTCTATCTAGTTGTTTTTCAACCTCATTTATGTATACTTCAAGAATATCCACTGCTTGAGATTTTTTATGCAACAAATAGATATATCCATAACGTGAAAAATCAACTATAAAGGCGATAAAATACTTTTCTCCTCCAAAAGATGGAACATCAGAAGGTTTACAAATGTCTGTATGAATAATTTCAAGAAGCTCTGTACTTCTTGTGACTCATTTCTTTGTGTGTTTGGTTTGTTTACCCTTAATACAATCTACACATACACCAAAATTAGTAAAATTTAGATTCAGAAGAATCACATCCTTTACTAATTTTTCTAACATTTTACTAGATATTGACCTAGTCTTTTATGTCACAAGAAATATAAATTTTCTATTAATTTAGCTACGCTTAATTCTAACATTATGTTGCAAGATCAAAAAATTCGTAATAAATAAACTAACAAGTTTGAATTTACTGAAATTATCAACAATAATACAATAACTCACAAATTAGAATTTCTTAAATAAACATCATTATCAAATTTAAATGAAAAACCATTAACATAAAATTTTGAAATAAAATCAAATTATAGGAAATTTAATAAACCTATAAAGTTTAAAATAATTTAAATAAAATCCACTGTCTAACATTAAACATAATGTCACAATGGTTTCAACAAAACTTTTTTTCCCAATTATCATAAATAAGAAATTCTTATTTGAATTTGTAGTTTAGGCCATAAGAAATTCTTGCATCTATTAGAAATATAAACATTAGTACTTAAGTCAACCTATCATGTATTAAAAATAATTTCAATAAGTAATTCGAAATATACAAAAGCCAAAAGCTTACCATTCTTTTTTGAATTATTCTTTATATTTTATGTAATCTTTCTAAAAGTGTTCAATACATCAATGCCACTTTTCCATTATTACATTCATTTCTTTTAGTAGATTGACCTAAATCTTTTAATATTGGGTGTTGCTCACTTAATGCCTCTTCAGGCTTATTCCCAAAATTTATTTATAACTTCTTGAGTCATCAGATGAACATAATGATTACTTTGCTACTTAAGTCTTGTCTCCTCCTAAATTAACATAATGGTCAATTAAATCACTTTCCACTTGTCTTAATAGTGTTAATTCGAAATGACCCATACTGAATAAATAAGAAATTGAGAATAAATTGAATAAGAAAATTCTCATTCACAATCATCTATAAGGTTCTTAATTTTGCAGCAACATTAGTCATCTAAAAATGCGATCATACATGGTACAAGTACTAACAAAAAATGCATAGTAGTTATTTCAATTAATAATTTTCGTTTTAGATATTTATCTACAATACGAAAATATTCTTATAATCAAATATTCCTTAGCACTATCACTATAGGGAATAATTATTCGAATAACCATAATGCTTAATCTGTTCGATCTCTCCCAAGCTTTATGGAGAATCTTTTCTTCCTCATTGTTTTTATCAGTAATAACAATAGGTTTCTCAATTTAAAATGTTAAATCAAGATTTAACACATCTAAATTTTAAACCCAACTTACTCATTCCATTATGAAAAGTTAGTCCTATCAAGGATCATAACAGATGTAGCATGCGAATTAAGGGATATAATAAAACAAACATGTTAAGATAAAATACTCACAACAATAATGCTTTAAGTTAACAACACGTATGTATAACTTAAAAATATAAATACAATGAACAACTATAGTACCCCTTTGGGTGGCAACTATAAAATATTAATTATGATACTTATATATATTTATATGTATACCTTTATTGGTGATACATTTTTTTTTAATTAAACAGATAAGTTACCTTTAGATATCCTATATCTACCAAATTAAAAAAATACATACAATCCCTTAATGTTCATTTAATCACTTGAAAATCAATTCCCTTTGAGGAATTATTTCTCATAATTAAATAAACTCAATATTCATGAATATCACAAAAAATAATAAATATCATAATTCATGAAATATTGTAATTATGTTTACTACTAAAATTAAAATTCATCAACCATTATGGTTAGGCCACTTTGGTAGCTACCAACCTTTACATAATATGAATATTAAATTAGATAGTAACTAATTATGATCAATTATGTCACTACAAAAATTAATATTCATCAATCATTATGATTGGGCCACTTTGGTAGCTACCAATCTTCATATAATATGAATATTAAATTAGATAGAGATTAATTCATCAGTAAGTAATATTTACTACTAAAATTAATATTCATCGACCATTACGGTTAGGCCACTTTGGTAGCTACTAACCATCACATAATATAAATATTAAATTAGCTAGTAACTAATTAATCATTAATTTACCCATTTAATATTATGCACACATACTTATACTGATCGATCCTAGTATAAAAAGGTTCGATCCCAGAAACTTAATAGTTCAAAAATTCAATAAAAAAAAAAAAAAATCCTTTTACTTTATATATATAATAAAACATTTATTTTTATTTTCGGACTTGGAGATCAGAATTGAATCAATCTAAAATTGATTCTCCATCTTATATATATGTTTGGGTACAAAACAATCATTTATTTGTATGTCCAATGCGGTTAAATTAAATTTCTAGACTCACATATTATTCTAGAAATTCAGATTTTCAATAAAATAAATAAATACACGTACTTTATGTATTTAATAATTTATTTATTTATTTTATTTAATCATATACAAAACAACATCATTACAATTAACAGCCAGATTTGCGCAGCAGAATAAAAATAATAAATTTCATTCTGTAAATTTATTATGCACGAAAATAACATTCTGACTTGTTTTTTTTCATTATGTATCTTGATTTGTCTCATTATGTAATCAAAAGTTTCATTCTGTACATTCATTTGTCTTATTATATACACACACACACACATAAGTACGTAAAACGAGACACAACATATAACATCAAGTGTGAAGCTAACAAATCTGATCATTATATATACAAATAGATTCTGGACAGTAATATATATATATATATATATATATATATATATATATATATATATATATATATATTTCAACTATAAATTTAGAATTCAAGAAACACAATTAATGAAGTCAACAAAACTGATAAATCCAAAGTCAACATAATATACCAGCAGACTTAACAGTTTTAAATGAATGGATCGCGTCATAACTATTCATAACTATTGACACATGTGTGGAGGTCAATTACAGTGTATCTTAATCCAATAGATCATATAAATCCAAATCTCATAAATTAAATTATTTAATTTTAATTTAAACTTACATATATTATTTATGCAAAGATAATGAAAAATAATGAGTTCCAAAACAACGGGCTCTGATACCACATGCAAACTATACTTATTCATATTAAGCCATTCATTACAAATAAATTTGAATCCCATAATTTTAGAACTTCATTATTTTCACACAGTCTATAACACATAAATAAATACTAGTTAGATATACATACCTCGATTCATGATATCAAACCTTGTTGAGATTAAATTCAATGTCTAGATCCTTTAATCACGAACCAATCTGCAACTCTGATCAACAGGCAAAGGCGGAAATTGGTTTCTCTCTCTTGGCCTTTTGCACACATAAATATTATACGTGTTGTATTCATTAGCGTACATAATTGATGGGATATATGCACTTTTATAAAGGCAGAGAGAGAACCAGTTTTCCTTTTTAGTAACCTTAATTCTACTTTCCATCAAAGTAAGGAATAAATAGGAAAACACTTCTCTAATAATTTATTGCCATAAAGGTAATTTTTAAGTTGACCAAATAATATAATATTAATCTGATACCTATTTACTTAACCACTAATTAATGAAATATATCACATGTCCAAAACATGTGGGCCATACAATATAAGAAAATATCTTACAGGCTATTGCAGAGAGTGAGAGCTTACAGAGAGAATACACTATTGTAGATGCAATATAAAAAGAGCGAACAAGTTGTAGGGGAAATACATAGAGAGAACAAGTTGTAGAGAGAAAGAAAAAAACCTTAAAAGTGGATTAAATAGGGTTGATATGCACTTAACACCCTACATAAAGCAAATATAGATAATGAATATGTGACAACCTGGATTTTTAAGAGTTGAAATTTAATTTATTCCATGATTTTTAGTTGTTAAGATTTGAGTATTTAAATTTTAAATTTGAGATTTATCTAATTGATATTTTAATTGGTTTTGATTTTTGGACCAAATTGGTGAAAGGAGATTTAATGAGTTGATTTAATATTTTGTTGTATATATATATATTCTGATGGAAGGGAGGATGCACCAAGCTGCCGAATTAAGAGAGGAAATAAAGAAATTGTGTAGTGATTTTGGTACAGGTCCCATTAAATGGTGTTAATAGGTTGATTTTGGTTTTGATACATTATAACACATTATATGTATATATCTTGTGTCAGTTTGTGAGATAGAGAAAAGGCAGCCAGCGAAATTGAAGGACAATGAAGAAAATGGTGATGACATTTTTGTGGGGCCCATTAGATGAGGTTAATGAATTGAATCATTTGATGCATGCAGTATATTGTCTGATAAGGAAAAAGAGTGCACCTGCCAGCCGAATTAAATAGAGAAAGAAGAGAAATGGAGTGATTAATTTGTGATGATAGAAGGTGATAAAAAGCAATGATCAGATGCCGAATTAGAGTGGAGAGAGAGTGATTGAATGATATTTTGTGTGGCTATTCGGAAATGTTAATGGGTTTTATTTTCAATTGTTATATATATATATATATATATTTCATGCAAAGGTGATACACCACCCGATATGAGATAGAAAGGGAAAAGAAGATTGAATTGGTGAGCGTGAAACCCGTTTGATTTTAGTTTTGCAAAGGTTCCTTTGACTTTGGCTTTTGCACTTGATGTTATTCTAGAAAGAGAGATAAGTGTGTGCTGTGTATTCAGATGTATGTAAAGAAAGATAAAAAGATAAGGGAGCAGCGAAGTGATAAGGTGTTGGTGCGGGGTCCACTATTGAATTATTGTCCCATGATATTTGTTGAATGTCTGTGCAATTGCCTATATATAATTGTATCAATTGTGTGACCTTGGAAGGATTGAAAGATAGAGCATTTAGAGAAGTACAAAGAGAAAGGTAGAGGAAACAAATAGAGAGTTTGAGAACAGAGCCGAGTTGCAGGGAGGGCTGAAGGTTTGAGGCTCCATTAATTAATATTTTTATTTTACAGGGTAGGGTTCTTTATACCTTGGATTACCTGGGTGATTTTATCTCAAATATTTTGTGATTACTTTTTTCTTTCAAATTGCATATATGTTATTTTGTTTAAAAGCATATATATTATTTTGTGATGCTAATTTTTATGAAACCCCTTGAAATTCTTGTTATGGTTTTTCCTACTGTCTCACCCCCCTACAGTTTCAGGTACTGAGGATGAACTTGGATTGCTAGTAGCGGGCTTAGGTGGAAGATTTGGTGTTGAGGATTTATTATTTATTTTAGAGATGTTGTATTATTTATTTGAGGAAACTAATTTTGTATCAATAAAATGATTTTTTTTTTTTTTGGAGATCTTGGGTGTAATACTGATGTATTTAGATTTGAATAAATCGAGAAATTTATTTATTAAAATTTTCGGGGCGTGACAGAATACCCCGTGGACATTTTTGGAAGGGTAAAAGGGTAAAATGGGCATATTACAACTACTTTATGTCAGATTTTGCATAAAAGTTATACTGTCTTAATGGTACATTATTGATAGTTTAAGTGTCTGTGTGATATTCAAGCATGATTTATTTTTGACATTCAAATGCAAAAAGGGGAGATTGTTGGTCCCACATTTGAATTAGGGTTGGCCCTTTTAAATGTCAAAAAGCTGTCACAAGTCCACTTCATTATGTTTCAAGTGATGCTGGCATGCACACTGTATTACATTGATCTACATACATTCTTTTGAAGACTATTCAAATGGCCTAAGAGAGGTACATTGTGTTGACAATTCTCACTACAAGGCCAATTAAGGTTTCAAGCCCTTGTTCAGAAGATGTTATTTAGCTTTAGTGACATTTAAGGGCAATTGAATCTTTTTACACCTGTATTCTATCACAATATACTTGTTTAAGATAATGCATTGTATTAAATTGCTCTAAATCACACTTTGATCAAGTGTTCACAACTGCAGCTATAGGATTATGTGGCTATTGATAAGTGTACTTCACAAGGGTATTTTGGTCCTTGCAAATATTGGGCATTCATTGTGACACGTGTCTTACGGTCCTAGTGTGTAATGACCAGGGGCTTCTTTTTTTTTTTTTTTTTTTTTTTTTTTTTTTTTTTTTACGGATTTTCATTTTTCCGTTAATGTTTATTTTCTGAGTTCTAGTCATCTTGAGTGCTCAGGAATGGTTTCCGACACTCTTTCCTTTGGAGATTGATATCATCGTTGTGAGGACCGTGTCATCTTCTCTCTTTTTTTGGCGTTTTCCTTTTCGCGTAACCTTAGGGTTTTGGAGACCCGAGGTAGGACTCTGAGTTCGGTTTGTGTTCGGATTGGATTTTCGACTTCACGTGCATACATTCCATTTGATATCCTTTAAATGCATAGTCTTACTTTTGTAGAAAAACATGCTACTTGTTTACTTTTTCCTTATGGGTATAGATGCATAGTTTCTTTGGAAACATTTTTGTTTTATGTGGTGTTATGCGTAATTAAATTTTCTTAGGATATTTGTCTTAGGGACCATTTTGCAATTTAATTTATGAGATATTTTGGGGAGGGACCTTTTTACAATTTTTGAAAAAGTGTGACAAGTGTCACACTCTCATTAGTCCACTTGTAAGCATTTTAATGGTGACACTTGGAAGCCTTAGATGATGACATGTGGAGGGTGAGGATTCACTCACTTGTTGGCTTAGAATTGGTCCACTTGTTGGCTTTGGATGTGGACAAGTGTAGTGCTTAGATTAAGCCTTGTGAGGAGGCTTAGGATGGTGATAAGTGGAGGGTTTGGATTAGGCCTTGAGAGGGGGCCTAAGATGGTGACAAGTGTAGGCTTTATATTAAGTCTTGCATTGTGTGTGTGAGAGAGAGGTAGTGTAGAAGTGTGTTATTAACTATCTACATCCTTGTGAGTGGAGGAATACACTAAATTCCACTAAGTGTTCATCTCTTTCTCACATTTTCCTCTCTTGCCTCCATTGAAGAACCGCTTAGACCTAGACCTTGCACTTTGGTTTTGAACCATTTGCCTTCACCTTTTGGCTTAACCCTTGGATGACAATACCTTCCCCTCATCCTCTTCTAGAACACCCTTGCTCGGTTTTTCATTTTACCTTTGGTTGCCTTAGATCTAGAGATTTTATTCTCTAGTGAGGTAGAGGATTGTTATATGTTTATATTTGAAATGTTTTAGTGTTTTTATGGTTTAATATATGTTGATTATATGCTTATGAAATTGTTGAATTGCATATTAATTGAGATTACATTTGCTCGACTTAGGATTTTATGATTTAAAGCATGAATAGTTTATATGTCTTGTGTAGAGATGTTAATTAAATTGGTAGATTACTAAATTCTAGAATTTCATGTTGTTGTAATGTGAAAATTCTTGTGGATTACTATTATTGTTTACCTTGCAAGCTTATTCCTATCTTGTTGTTAATTTAGTATTTAAGCTACCTTGGTAAATTGATTTAGTTGTGTGTGATATCATTTTTGGTGTAACAAATCGCACATTGAATGTATGTGTAGCGAATCACACGTTGAAGATTCGACATTTTGAATGCCATGGTAGTTGGAGACTATAGTGCATGACTAGTCTGAATCCATGTATGGTTGTGTATGGAAGGTGTTTAAATGCATTTTTACTTAAAGTGTTTAAGTTATGCATTTCTTGTTGATTTTGGAAACTTGGGGCATCGACCTTGAATTGGCTAGAGCACAGCTCTAGTACGGAAGATAAGAGCTCTTCACATATAATGCGCACTTAGGTGGTTCCTAGTGGGTTAGTACCAAAAATAACTACATTGCGTGGTTTCATCCACAAAGGCAACCGAGTATTCCATCATTTAATTTCGTTTTCATTTACAAGTTAACATTACTTTTGAAGTTGTAACTTGTCGAGTTCACTTATAGTGAATGTTTATATTATGTTTCAATTCTGTTTAGTATACTTGTGCCTAGTATGCTAGTATGTTGTGTATTTCATTTCAATTGCTAAAGTAGCTTAAGATGATCCCTTAGTCAACCTTATAACATAGACGTTAGGAGGAACGATCCATTGTATTGATCTATATTGAACTTGTATGACATTTGAAACTTTAGGGTATGCACATGCTCTTCTTCCTACGAGTAACTTGTTTACTCATCCTAGTTGTTTGGAATATTTTCAGGTAAAAAAGTGCTTTTCATGGATGGTTAGCCATTTGGCTTGTTTTGGACATCGTGTCATGGACACACCCTTTTTGTTAATGTACAAAGTGTTTAACATGTGTTTTGATGTATTTTTGTAACTATGGACATTTGGGTTATGTTATCGGATAATTGACTTATAACGAGGCCTTGAACCATTACAACATAATTCAATATGCATTTTATATTTGTTGACATGTTCACATACTTATACTTCTTTAAATTTTAGTTTTTGACCTATGTATAAGGGTAGAATGAGTCTTATGGGTTCCATTGCATTTTCTGGTGTTTAGTAGAGTATTCTGCAGGATTCAAGGTACCAAAATACCATTTCGGATGACTGGTTGCTTTCTGAAATCAATTAAACAGTAAAAACTCATTTTCTAATAGCTAAAGTCCTGTTTAGGTCACAACTGGATGGCTGGTTCTTCATTTCGGACGACCGAAGTGCATTTTCTTCAAATTTTGGACTTTTAGTGAGACTGGGTTCATTTTGAACGTCCGAAATGCCACCGAAATGCCTCAGGCTCACTATTCTTCAGTTATGGAACAACTTTGTTGCTAAGACTTCGAACGAACATATCTCCTTCATTTCTAATCCAAATGGGGTCATTCTTAAGCCTAAATTCAAGGATTTTGAGTCATATTTCCAATTCATTCTCAGATTCAAATCACAATGGAAGCTATTCATGTTTTAGTAAGACAATATCAGATTTTACTTAAACCGGGAATGGGTGTTTTGTGGGATTCTTGGCCAAAGTTCTTAGAATCTCTTGGAATGTTGTGTAATGATTAGATTAGGTTGTATGGACCTCATTTGAATTGCTTGGAGTTAAATTTCTCCCTTTATTTATGAAATGACCATTTTACCCTTGATGAATGGATTTTGCCCTTTTTGACCTTTGTTTCCGTTTTAGTTTCTCTCTTGAGTTCCATGGCTTTGATGAAGCCCACTTTGGGTCTCAGGGTTAGTATCAATCCCTAGTGACCACTTTCTTTTCATTGTTTTCACGTTTTGGATCCGTTTTCGGATCAGTTTTTCGGGTCACTTGCTGACGCACCGGGTTTTGTAAAACTTAAGTCGTCCCAGGTGGTATCTGAGCTCCTAGGTCAAAAACCTTAGGGCAATGGGTTTTGGGTGCATATCATGCTTGTGCTGACATTCTCTATGTGTTCACGTGCTTATTGATAACATGTTTTGGTATTTTTTTTTTTTTTTGATAATTAAATCATTTATAAAAGGCGTTCAAAAGGGGAACGCATCCCAAATACCAAAAGCATGGTACCCTAAGGCCCCAAGGAGGTCAGGAAATCAATTGTCTCCTCAGAGGAAGAACAACGTCTACCTGAAATCCAAAAAAAAAAAAAAAAAAAAAAAAAAAAAGAAGATAACTAATAACATAAGACTTAAGCATAGTAACCAACGATGTCTACATGTTTTGGTATGATAACATGTTTACGAGTGTAGGTGCAAAATTTCGCTCAATCAATAATGATTAAGAAAAATAGAACAACTCACTCAATCAATAGTAAAAATAAACAAGAACAATATATGTCGAAGCGTAGAATTGCTTGATCCCTTTATTGGAGGTCTAAGCCTCTATTTATATACAAAAGATTGTAAAATTATGGTAGGACTCGCCTTACTTGTCCTCTAATTCTTTCTATATAAACATTCTTTACTAATAGAGTTCTTTCCATTGTCTAATTTTTCATACATAGAACTTGCCTTGTACAAAACTTCCTATCTCAGAATTTTCCTTCTACGGTAAATCCTTCAACTGGTAGGACTTGTGCAATCTTGAATAATTGGGCTGAACATACTTTGATCCGGCTGGGCTTGAGTAACGGACCGGATGTTAAATATTAACAAGTTGGACTAATGACCTCTTGATTCGGCCTTGATGGAGGTTGGAAGACAAATAACAATGGTCTTGGGCTAAAAATACACTCAATTTGGGCTTGACCATGACGGGCCTTACATGTCCTTGGAATGTAGATGTGTGTAGTGATGACGTGTACGCTTCTTATTGGAGGGAGTTTTTTCCCTCCACACTTTGCCCCAAATTTCATTTTTAATTGGGTGACGGCTCCCATTAAAGAGGGAATTGGAACTGGTTTTTTACTTTGCTTCAGAGACGGTTCGAGGAATTTCATTATTACTCCATCATATAAGATTTTGCAAGAGTTACATTCGCCCTAACTGCACTCCTGCGTTCTTCATTCCATCGCCTTGTCAGGTTAGTTTTTTCCCGCATCTTT